GTTTTTTTAAAGAATTTTTTAACATTCCCTCTCCATCTTTTGCATCTGTTGTAGTTTTTCCTAAAAAGATTTTATATGTAACAGCTAATCTCTGTCAGATTTATGCCATTAGATTGTGTTGCAGAAGTCCATAAGTATGGATGAAACTTGCTTTACCACCTTTCAAGCTAATAAATATTCAGAACATTTGAGGTACTTTTGTACGAAATGGCATATTTAATAAATTCTACATCCCTATATTTTATTTAATTGAAAAAAAAAAGCCTACGTACTTCAACATGAATGACCCTTGAGAACGTTGTAAGTGAAAGAAGCCATTTCCAAAAGACTGATGGTTCTATTTATATGAATTGTCCAGAATAGGCAATTTGTAAAGCCAGAGAGTAGACTGCTGGTTGTTTCGGACTGGGGGGGAGGGGGTTGTGGAAAGGGGAAAATGGGAAGATTTGGGATTCGTTTTAGGGGGAATGAACCAATTCTAAAATTAGATTTTAGATGGCTGCACCATCCTGTGAATATACTAAAAAACATTTAATTGCACACCTTTTTTTTATAGGTCAATTGTATGGCACGTGAATGATATCTCATATAAGCTTTGTTTGCAATGCTTAAAGGAATGGTTTAATTTATCTTTTTTTGAAGTATCTTTTTGCTTTTTGCTTCCTCATATGTCTTAGGTTAGTTGAAAACAATGTAGCACTGTCAAGATTAGCTTTTTAAATATGCATATACTTTCTAACAAAGCTACAACCTGAGCAGACTTTATGAGTGGTAACCATCAAAATGAATGCACAGACATCTGAATACAAGTATTAGTACATTTTGTGCACTCACACACTGAGTGACTTTGTTAAACTGGTAGTGTACATATTTAAAACCAGACAGGGGCGCCTGGGTGGCGCAGTCGGTTAAGCGTCCGACTTCAGCCAGGTCACGATCTCGCGGTCCATGAGTTCGAGCCCCGCGTCAGGCTCTGGGCTGATGGCTCGGAGCCTGGAGCCTGTTTCTGATTCTGTGTCTCCCTCTCTCTCTGCCCCTCCCCCGTTCATGCTCTGTCTCTCTCTGTCCCAAAAATAAATAAATGTTGAAAAAAAAATTTAAAAAAAAAAAATTAAAACCAGACAGAATATGATGATTCATATGATGACTGCAGAGCAACAGAAATGACACATTTCTTTTAAAGATGTACCCATTATAGGATTGCTTTTAAAAATGGTCAGTTTTCATCAAGTCATTACATTTTCTTTGCTTTTTAATTTCATAAAAAAACTAACAAACATTGAGACGATTACCAGCTTGTGAAAGGAGAGCTCCAGAGAAAAGCACTGGGTGGAAATACTGTTTCATTGATTTGGTTAACCATTCTGTAATCCCTGCTTCTAAAGTAGTCACCGTCTAGATGTTAAGCAGCCTTGATACATTAGCCCTTAAAGTGTAAGTGACCTTACATTAAGGGAGATACTGTTTCCATACTAGTTGCTACCACAGCTCCTCATACACACACCCCTCGTGTGCCCACATACCAACTCGCATACTTGCCCACCTACTCGGACTCACAGCCAGCTCAGAACTCAGGGTTTGCTCGTGGCTGCCATTTTTTTGTTAGCCACATTTTGAACTAAGTGCCCCCCCCCCCCACCTATTCCTTTGGTTAACCTGGGCCCCACATTTATAATTGATTTATAAATTAATTGCATTTATAAACTACTTGCCTAAGAAAACACATTGTGATTCCAACCTAAAGCTGCAACTGATTTTTAGATATATAACCCAATGGGGAGGGGGTGCTACCTATGAAATGCCTCATTTTTACTTTATATTTACTTATATATTAACATAGAATTTTTCACTTCCAGAAATTAAGGCTGGCCAATCATATGTTTGTTTACCTGCTTGAGTCCAACCATTACTATTTGAACATTTGTCTTCCTATCAAACAGCACACACATTTTAAATCTCTTTCTATGGGGGCGCCTGGGTGGCTTAGTCGGGGAAGTGTCCAACGTCGGCTCAGGTCACAATCTTGTGGTTGATGAGTTCGAGCCCCGCGTCGGGCTCTGTGGTGACAGCTCACAGCCTGGAGCCTGCTTCGGATTCTGTGTCTCCCTCTCTCTCTGCACCTCCCCGACGTGTGCTCTGCCTCTCTCTCCCTCAAATGAATAAACATTTAAAAAAATGTAATCTCTTTCTATGTATGTTCATGTGGTTTTAACCCATATCTATATTTATACGTTTGGTTGTATACCTAGCAGTAGTCGTTGTGGGGATCCAACGAGAAGGGCAAGATAGTTATTTCCTCCTCTCAGAGAGCCTCCCTCTTGGAGATCGATGACCTTGGTGCAAGGTGGGACCAAGAAGGCACTTGGGTAACAGCAGGAGCAGTTGCTGAGGCGTCAGAGAGGAGGAAGTAATCTCTGGCTCCAGAGAACCTGTAACAATAAGCTGAACCTTAGAAATAAGGGAAGAATTTTGAAAGGTGAAGAAACCGAAAGGTCCTTCACCAACATGCAGAGTTCTTGAGAAAAGGAATAGACCTAAAACCAGAACAGAAAATATCTACTCTGTCTCTTCGGGGTACATGAATCTGTGAAGTCCTAATTCTTTCAGTGGGAGAAATACAGACTTTAATTAAGGGGTAAGTTTATTTTTATTTTGTGTTCTGGCACCTACCATTCTGAAACATTGCCGGGCCTGTAGCATGAAGCTGAGGGTAATTACTAGTGGGCCATCTTATTTTGAGAGCCCACGGGAAAAACTCACCGCGTTCATCCTCCTCGTTTGCTATTAACGTTTCAATTTGTAAGTTGTCATACTGCGACAGGCCAGTAGTTCACCCGGAGCAGGGTCCTGCTTGTAGCAGGCCACCCTGAGGGTTTCCAAGAGAAACTGCACTCCCCTTTCTGGCCCAAGGTCATGCTCGCTGGGAACCGCTTTCTAATTTATTGTATGCACATCAGCACAAGTTAAACCTCCTTCACTTACTAGTTACAGGAACCAGCTCATTGAAAAGCTGTTCCCAGGTTCCCATTAATCTGGATGAAAATGTGTTACCAGGAACTTTAGAAACTATTCAAGGAAGAAAGAAGAGTATTAGATAAATTGGTCTGTTGAGGGCTTACATGTAAACACGTACTGAATTATTTTATTTTCCCAGTATCCCTAGAAGGTGGGTCGGCCACTCTCTCTGTCTTATAGATAAGAAAACCGAGGCACAGAGAAGGAGAGTGAAATTTCATTCCCTGCATTATGTTCCTTGTTAAAGTGTCACTTTTTATCACAGTAGGTATGTTGAAGGTTGGCCAACGCAGGGTCCTGCCCCTTTAGTAAACACACACTTTTGTTACACTGTGGATCTTGATGTTCAGCCGCAAAAGACCTGGCCAGCAGAGAAGCATAGCAGAAGGCCAGCCTGTATGCGGCAGGGTGTGTGATGATTAGCGTCGCCTGATGCGGCCTCCTGTGCCGCTCGTGCTGAAGAGCCTACTGGCTGAGTACCCAGCCAAGAAACATGACAGTTTTGTGAACAGATAATATGTTAGGCATTCGTTTTTCTGTTGAATAAGAAAGTCTTCAACTCCAGCTCTAATGTATATGTGTCTATGGACACGTATCTATCTGTCTTTCCAGATAGATAGAAGACAAGGTGTGTATACCTATTAATTTCTAGTAGAGAAAGTATGGATAAAACATTCCAAGGAGTCCTGTTATTTGGCTATTTGAATTTCTTGATCCAAAATGATTTTTTTAAACGACTAGGCTGCTATTAAGAAGGTGACCGATCCGAGTCCATTGCTCTATTCTTGCACATTCCTAAAAGCCCTGATGTTCACAGTTGGTGGAAAGAAAGTGGAGACACGCAGGGCATGGTTAATACATATGCATGACTGACCCCTGAAGAGCTAGGAGGTGACTCTACAGAATTAGCTGGCTCTCAGACTCCATAGATCCTCAAAATACTGTTGTAAGGACGAAATGAAATAACACATAGGAAAACGCAGTATTTCGAAAGCCAAAAATCACTGGTTGCATGCAGGTTATCAAGGAGCAGCTCCTTTCTCAACATTTTTACTTCTTGGTCCCTTTGTACACGCCCTCTCCCCCTGCACCCTCTTCTCTTTTCCTCTTCTCCTCTTCTCCCGCTTCCGCCAGGCTCCAGGTGATGAGCCAGTGGCAGGGGGCAGTTGGAGAAGGACTGAATCCGTCTCGTGTTCTCACTGCTTTCATAAATGGTCACATTCACGCAGCTTTCCTTGTATCACTCTTTCCCCTGCCCACCTTTGTATCCTCTGAGGAATTTTAAGACACTCTCTGGGCTTCCTAATTTGCTTCGCTCCATTTTGCTCTACCTTTGCAAAATTGGATCATCTTCCTGTTCCTCCCTTCTTACACACTCTACATCTAGCTATCAGCCGGCCAACTGGTTAGCTTCGTTGTGTGATGCTGTGTCTTTTGCATAGCAGATACTCAGAAAATACGTGTTCATTAACTAGCTGAAAAAGAAACAGGTGAGTTACATATTCCTTCTTCTCTTTCGGCATTAAAAAAAAAAAAAAAAAGTGTTGACTGGCCTTAAATTTGGAGATTTTATCCAAGCTCACAGGATTGTAGAACCTCAACCGTTTAACTCTTGGTGTTTTTCCTGCTAATGTAGCAAGGCAAAATAATAAAACTTCTTTGAGGCAAGGGAGTGTTTATTTTGAAGGACTCAAAAATCTTCCTCTTTAGGCATCCATGAGTTTACCTTTGTTTGGTCACCTAACAGAGACGATCAACATGAAGAAGCCACGCTTGCGTGGAATCCTCTGAAAGTAACATTAAATTTCCAAATGTCATCAGAGAGTATTGCCAGTCGACACTCGCTTGAAGAGCCTGGGTGATTGGTCTGTTTTCAGCTGTGTTGATTTGATTGCCCTTGTGAGTGTTGATCTGAAGGGAACCATTACCTGATTCCTTAAAATGATTAATGTTTTCTCCTTCCATTTTTTTTTTTTTTTTTACAGGAAATGGCAAAAATCCTTAATCATCCCAGAGTCTATGCTTTTCTGCACATACCGGTCCAGTCTGCCTCTGACTCTGTACTCACGGAAATGAGAAGAGAATACTGCGTGGCCGACTTCAAAAGAGTGGTGGATTTTCTGAAAGAGAAGTAAGTCTGTTAGTACTTAAGAAAATAACCATTTCTTTTTTTCTTTCGAAAGCATGTGGCAAAAATGCACTTATTGTAGCCACAATTAAAGGTACCAGAGGGAAGGCGAGAGTTTTGAAGCTTTCCGAGCCTTTAAGTTTCCTTAGGGACCCTTGATGTGGTTTCTTCTTATATCCACCTCCCATCTGTTCACAAAATACCATTAATTTGTGTGAGATTGCCACAGTCTGTCCAAGGTAACACGCATTGCAGTCATTTTTCTACCTGACCTCATAGATGAAAACTGCGTTGGCTTTGCTTAAATCTCCTTTAATGTGGCTTTTTGAGGTTGTGAGCTGGGCCCGATGTGGAGATAGGCCAACTCATGTCACCGCGGAGTAGATAATTTTCTCCCAAGTAGCATTTTTTGAAGAGTATCTGGAACGTTCTTGCTTTTACCCGCTTATCCCTGAAGATCACTTGGAGAATTGTGATGTATAAGGTGGTTTTGGGATTCTGTGTTTTTAAAGTTGAAATTGCTGTTGACCAAAATTAAGGCATATTTACACAATCTTAGACATGAATGATCATTTTGTTTCCACAGAAAACACTTGCAGCCCATAATTATATTCTTCAAAACCCTACTTCTCATCATCACCAAACGTTGACTGCCTTCTGTGATTATACAAGGCAGGAAATAGCAGGGCTGGCCAAGGTCATACGAAACCTTCTCAAGTCTGGGGCACTGCTCTCCCCCGTGGCGATATGTCATTTATCCGGGCGTATCTGTGGCATGCGTCTTCCTACTTTCCATAATTTTTTTCCATAATTTTTTCCTCTGTTGTTTCTCTTAATTAAGATACAACTTTTTGTTTCCATCTTCTTGTTTATAATTATATACCTTTGTACCATGTCGAAGTGCTACATGGGTATGATTGCTTTATACAAACTGTGAGCAGTTATTTTTTCCACCTTCAATTAGTGACTTATCCTGACTACATAGAAATCTTTTTAAATCTTTTTTCTTGTTCTATTTACTTTCTCCTTCCTCCCTCATCTTTCCTTTATGTCTTTCTAATTTTTTTTTCCACCTCTAGGCATTTCTTGATTATCCTAACCACTAGAAATAAAGACCCTTGTGTGCATTCAAACAAACACAGCTAATTGTTCGAATATTCAAATCAGCGAATAGAAGGCATATTTATTCTAGGATTTCGTAATTGTAATCGTTAAATATATACAGCCTTCAAAGTAGAAAGCAGAATAATGACAGATCTGTACCATCCATAGTAACTTTCTGCTCTTGAACAGAATGGAGGTCAAGGCTGAAGTGTGAGAACTTTTATGTTAGGTGTCTGTTAAGTTCCCCTGTATCTCTCCTTTGCGTTCATTCTAGCTTATTGTAGGTAAACTTGCCTCCTGTGAGAGAGTCCTTTTGGGCACGTTGGCACTGGTGAATGGAATGTTTTCAAAATTGCAGATAAATTGTTGCACCTGTGAAATTTCTTGCCTCTTGCTTATTACTAGGGCAGTGGCAAATAATGTGTACAATTCATACCTGTTGCACAAGATTTTGCCAAGTGGAGACATGCATCCTGTTGTGCAGAATAGACTAGAACACTTTCCAAATAGTTTGTTGCATTAATGTGATTCAGTGAGGTTAAGGAATCAACACCTCTCTTTCTCCTCCACTTGGGTGAGTGCTGACTCAGTTGTTTGGGGAATTACTGTGGCTACCTAACTGGGCAACAATTTCACAATAAGTGCTAGCCTTTTATGTTGTTCCAAAGGTGGCCCTCTTAAATCTGTTGCATCTTGAACAGTTTCAACAGCATCCATGAGGTACAAAGAGGTGAACAGATGATCACATCAAAGTGTTAGAGAATAGGCTCTTGCCTTTATTCATGGGTTAAACTCATTGCCTTTTTTTGGATTCTGAATTACCCTGAGGCATCTTTGTAGCTTTTCTAGAACTACCCTGCTGTCGGAAAGATCCCAGAACGAAGTACTCTGCCTGAGGATCTCTAGTGTTTCCATTGCTGGAAGTATCAGAGATCCCTGGAGAGGGTATTGGAGATGCCTGGAGAAGACGCCCCCATCCCACACCCATCCATCCACAATGTCAGTTTCAAGTAGTGTGAATCACTGAAATGGTAGAGTATGGGTCTAGATAGCATCTCTGAAATGTTGTTTTTTATTAAACCTCTGTGTTGTATATGTACAGCGAGGGCAGAAGCAACCTCGGTGTACAATTTCATACTTAGATTTTAACTTACGAGATGTGTTGGAAAAATGTAGAAGGCAGACAGTATGGTGCCCTGATACAGAGAGCAGATGACTGAGAAAAGTTACAGGTACTCTTCAGAAAAAAAGAAGAAATCAAATCCCCACGACTAATCACGTGATCCTTGCATGGTTTTACACAGTTCATCAGAACCATAAAATTGTGTATTTTGTCCATTCTGCCCTGTTGCTTGTGAAGAAGCATACAGCACTCTCTCCTGCACGGACAGTGGGGTCCACCTGTGCTCCTTAGTAAAAACGTGTTTCCTGTCCTTTCAGGAAGGTCCACCCATCCAGGGAGTACTTTTCAATTGTAACAAATATTTAGAAATAAATGAAGTAAGGGGATTCTTCTGTGATGTTTTGCTTATTTTTCCCTATAAAAACTAGATGGCTTTATGCCAAGTAGAGGAGTGCTTGTTGGAAACACCAAAGTCTCAGGGATTTCTGTAGCACTGCTGGTCTGGATAACTGATCCGGCACAAATTGCTTTGTCCAGTGTTTAACCAGAATTCAATAAAATACTGTCTTTTTTTGAAGGAGGACCTCACACTGTCATTTTGCCATTTTGTGCATTCATAAAATGACTGTGACTTAAAATGACTTGTTTGGTGCTTTCCTCTTGCAGCTGCTTTTTAAACTCCTGTATTAATGTCTTCTTTCCTCTGAAGCTTTTGAAGCCCTTTTTTTCCTAGTGAGCCTTTAATAGATGAGAATCTTGATTTTTTTTCTCCGTGAGTATGAATCTTCTCATAAATTCATGTTACGAATAAGGAACAGAGCACATCCTAATCTGTCTCGTCAAAAAAAAAATCCAATTTTTTAAAATTTTTTATTTTATTACTTTTATTTTTTTTTTAACGTTTATTTATTTTTGAGACAGGGAGAGATAGAGCATGAACAGGGGAGGGTCAGAGAGAGGGAGACACAGAATCTGAAACAGGCTCCAGGCTCAGAGCTGTCCGCACAGAGCCCCACGCGGGGCTCGAACTCATGGACTGCGAGATCATGACCTGAGCCGAAGTCGGCCGCTTAACTGACTCAGCCACCCAGGCGCCCCAAAAAATCCAATTTTTAAAACAACCTATAGCATTTAAGACAGAAGTCCAAACTGTGTAAGTCTGCCTGAAGCTACAGGGGCTTTTAAACTACTAATTCGGCGATATTTATGACTCCCTGTTTCTGAAACACAGGGAGGTGAAAACTCTTTAATTAATTTTCTTTACCATTGAAACCGGCCCATGTGATAGCTGGTAGCAGTAGAAGTTTACTTGTGAGCCAGCTTGAAGTTGATTCATTATTCTCTGCAGTTGTTTGAAAGTTGGCAACTGTTCTCCTAACAGCAGCTGGATTGGAGATAACCTGGTGGTGCTGGCACGTGCTGAGGCATATGGGAATTTATTAAATCACGCAACCTTTGCAAAGAAAAGTGTCTAAATTACTTAATATACTAATTTAAAACAGCTGGTCGTGAGCAGACGATCATATGACTTAAATTATTCTATTCAGATTTATTAATCCAGTTGGAAACTTAAGTTGATGTTTTTATATGAATGGGTAAGATGATTCCTTGAAATGTGTAATGGGATTTGGAGGGATCCGGAAGCAAACTATACCATCAAGGTGCCATTCTGGTTTCAGAAAGATTGGTGTCTTTATGATTTTCAATAAATACCTCATGAGTTTTATTCCTTTTATTAATTGGCACTGAACTGGTTTTTCTGTTACCTTTTTAAGATATTGCTGGAATTTTTCAAAAAGTATAAAATTGTATTTTTTTCATGTTATTTTGAAAGAGTTAACTTCCTAATGAGAGGGTTTTTCACTTTGGTATGTTGAAGGTGATATACTTAGGGTTCCTAGGGCGGTGGGACCTTGGACACGGACTTTAATTGGGCCCCCCTCCTTTGAGCAGTAAACTCAATCACTTCCCCAACATAAAACCGTATATTCACATATATTCACAAAATGACAACACATAGAATTCTTCTCTCAGGCATATGTTCTCGTGCTGAGGAAAAGAATCTCTGAGTCCTCAAATTCACACATTAAAGTGTGAAAGAAGATGAAGGAATGTCCTGTTGATAGATACATTTTAAGACATGAAAGAGTTTATATATTAAAAGATCTCTTTGTTTCCACAGATTATTTTGTTGGAGGTCCAGGGGCCTTTTGGTTTATGTTAACCAGACCTTAAACCTGCGAGACCGGGTCCATCTCCCTTACCCCACAGCTGCATTTTGAATGAATTAATGACCAGTTATGTTTTCACCTGCTAGTTGCATAGATCTTAAGTTGTACCTTCCTGTAGTGTCTTTGTGTTGACTAAAAATGACACGATATTATCCATTCTCAGAATTTGCTGTAATCATTTGTCAATGTGCTGTGTAATTCTGGGCCAATTTGTCATGTTGCTTGTAGAATATTAACCCTTTAGCATCGTGATATCCATTCGCACCCCTGAGTTGACTCCACCCAGAGATTGCCCAGTGAAATGCCATAGCCAGTAACCAGTGAGCACTCGGGGTAAAAGGGAACCTTTCAGCAGGGAGGACTCCCCAGAGGGGAGGTACAGCCTTGCAGAGAAAGCTCTGTCCTCCCATCTCTCTGCTGTGGACTCAGGCAGTAAAGGGGCAACAAGGGCACAAAGCCGGGATCACGTTGGCAGGTTGATTTCTGCAAGTGAGTCACAGAGTTATCTCACACTGCCCAGCCTATCCTGTGACCTGCTTTTCCAG